ACTCCTGGCTGAATAAAGCTAATAATAAAAAAAGAAAACTGTTGCATGGGATACACGTTGCTCCGTTTTTTTCTGTGGTTCAGTTAAATTGTTTTCTTCCTTGCTGCAAACAGGAGGTAATTCTTTGGCTCTTCTGTTAAACCAGCGTAACTGGAGCAAAAATAACGTTTAAGGAGAGGGTATCATAAAAAAAATCCTCAAGTATCCGTAAAGGTAGAGCGCTTTACTGTCCAGAGAAGCTACCTGAGAGCTTGTGCCAAAAACAATGTTTTTATAAGCAGAGATGCACCTCCCGGCTCTTTCATTTCCCCCGAGGCCCCTGAGTTATTGCTCCCTGATCTGCCATTTGATGCACTTTTCACTCTCTGTTTTACAATCACACTAAATAAGAAACTGGAGTATTGACAGAAATGACAATACAGAGAGGGCTTTACTGCGAGATGACTGCCACTCATAAAACCACAAAGTTTGAACAAGTTTTTACTGCCTCAACACAACAAAAAGTGAACCAAAACAACTTGAAATTAATTTAATTGAGTTTTTGGTTAAAAAATAAGGATGCTTTCTGCAGCAGCAGACAGAGGGGTCTGAGGGCTGCTGTCCGGGGACAGAGGTGTTAAATATGAAACAGGCCCACACATGAAGATTTTCTCTATTTTTCCATGATTCTTTAAACTGGAAAGACAGAAAAAGAAAGAAGAGGCTGTATGAATGGGAGCAGAACTTGACTGTTTATGGCCACTGGGGGGCGCTAAAGATGTGTTACAAAATATCACCTATAGTTTCTTAATTTAGAGAAGCATCTCCATAACCTAAATCTACCATCTTCTAAATGTGTGACCCAAAGTCTGATTTTGAGCAGCACAATAAGTTAATTGATCATCTCCGACCCAGGACATGTCTCTGTTCACATTTTTACTCTTGCAGTACATAAGGATCCTTTTATTTTAATTGATGCAGCTCGCCATCTAGTGGTTTTACCCAATTTATACACTTGTGTGTATTTAACACCAGATAGAGGCTAAAACCTGAGGTGACATTCATTAAAAAATAAAGAGAAAAATAATATGCATCAGAAATAAGGGCAATATTTAAGTGACTTAAATAAAATGTGGAAATATCTAAAAATTCAGAGAAAAGTAAAAAGAAGTGTGTTTATCGCAGTCGCCCGTTCATCACAAGGCTGACATATAGAGACAAACAACCATCCACGCACACCTTCACACTTACAGGCAATTTGAAAGTGGCCAACTAACCTAACTCCACTTCTGCATTGTTTTTGCATGTGGGAGGAAACCAGAGTACCTGGAGTAAACCCACGCAGACACAGGAAGAACATGCAAACTCCACACAGAAGCGCCCTGGCCCGGATTCGAACCCAGGACCTTCTTGCTGTGAGGCAACAGTGCCAACCACTAGACCACTGTGCCACCCGATTTGCCATTCAGTTCAGTTTACATTAAGTTATGTTTTAAGAGGCCTATAATTATATTTTGCAACCAGTTTTAGTGGATACAGTCGGACCTTGCAGGAGTTTTTGTGTTGAAAAGTAAAATCCTCATAACAGAACCTCTCGATATGATTCTTGAAAACATGCAGCTCTTCTTCAGTTACCGGTTGATACCATGTTAGAGGAGTCTGTGACATGGCTGTGAATGGAGAAAAGTTAACTCCTGACAGTTCAGAGACAGCTGACCGTGTCTGTCTGAGGCAGCCGTGTTGGTAACGTTTCACCCAGAAGGCTATTACCTCTGCTCTTTGGTTACATTCAAACACAGTTATTCCAGGTGACAGAGTGTTTGAACAGTTACATACATAAATACAGCACACAATTTAAGGATAAATGATGACTTTGGATGGCTGAGCCCAAAGGGGGAAAAAACATGAGAAAATTGCAGTCAGATTAAAGTTATGGAATTAGACTAAATCTTGAAAATGAGAGGTTCAAAAAGTGTTCCAGATATTGGGTTGTATTAGGTATAAATTAGGTATATTAGGTATAAAGTACACTGTAACTTATTTGGTTCTGAGGTAATTAGGGAGTTTCTCTGTTTTATGGACTTTGGCGCCCTCTGTGGGACAAAATACATAGTCCAAAGTGATGCACCAGCAATCCAGATTTTGTGATCTTCAAAAATATGTTCCCTGATCAGATTCTTCCAATCCAGTTTTTTTCGTCTTGTTTTTGTTTTTGTTCTTGAAAGCTAGAGGAAAGGTCAGATGGACGGATCAGCTGATTGAGTGAATATGTGATTTCTAAATCTGGACCATTCTGGTTAAGATGATTAATAAGTACTATTGTTGAGCAATACAAGACTCCTCCTGTTATGTAAGATAGTGTTTGGATAGAAATGTATAAGTTTATCATGATGATTCATATTATGGTTGCTTGGGTGTTAATCTCTGACTGGGCAGTTTCACCTTTAACCACCAGAGGGCGCTCCTGTATAAAACATGCAGACATTCATTTTAGACCGTACACACACTCATTTTACAGGTTATCACACACTGGAGAAAGAGCTCATTTTCTTTATTTCGGCTGTTTGACTTCTGAGAGGAGGAGAAAATATATTAAGTATTATTATTAAATTAAGTTTTACTGTCTGACTGATCAACATGATTTTATAGCTGACACTAGGAAAATAATAATATGCTGAAGGTCTCATTAATATCATTCTTTTATGTAAACTCTCATCAAAATGTCAATCGTGCGCATATTTTTTGGTAAGCTAATTATAGTCGTATTTGAAGCACCGAGTGTGTGCGCACCTGAACGCCCCATTGCTCCAGCGAAGATCTACTGACAGCAACAAGCGTCTTTTTGTCCAAACATCTGCTTATCTGCTCCCGCTCTCTGTTCTGTCAATTCCCATTTGTGTCGGAGGTTTCTCTCAGATAAGATTATCTGTGCTCTGTTTATTAACCCATTTCCCCTCATTGTTTAGACAAAAGGCCTCTGCTGTGCGCGCCATCAGCAGGCCAACAGTCTGTCAGTGAAAAAAAAGAGAATTTACGCACGAATTATTCAGAGCAACAGGTTCACATAAAGCAGAAAATAATACAAATAATCTAAAATATATTTATTCTCCTTCCTTTATTCTTCCATTGGGATTATTACTACCTGCTAAAATCTATTTCTTTTACCTGTGTTGTGACTGTTTTTGGAGTTTTTATATTTCCAAGGCCTATCCTAAATGATGTTTTATCGGTGTTATGCTTTCTCTAATGATTATCAATCAGAGTTTTTATTGCATTAAAGTCCCCCGTGTCAATCTCTGTAACAAACTGTAGTTTAAGAGTTTAAACTTTAAATTACTTGTGAATTTATGAGATAATAAATGAAATAATTCATTATGTTAAATTGCGATTAGGGTTTGAGTGTGACGGGCTGTTTTGGCAGCTCTCGTCTTTGGCTGCGGATGAGCTGCAAAACGTGCCCATCTTTCACTCATTGATCTGACTCCGGGTCAGCCACCAGCTGCTGCTTTATTCAGAGGCGTTTAAAGATTTGTAAAAAGGCGAGGAAAAACACAGGAAAATGTTTGTTTTGTTTTTATCTCAAAGTGATCATTTTAGAAAGACTTTAAAACAAGGTGATAAAATCGATGTATGTGATCAGGGGGAACATAAGGATATAAATAAGAAAAAGAGGGCCATTTACAGAATTAGAAAACGCATATTTGCTGCATCCTTCAGCCGGAGAAATACAGTCCAAATTGTGAATCACCTCGCGTTGAAAAACCTTTTAAAATCCACAATCTCTCCCCGGTGAGCAAATGTGGCAGCAAGGTGCATTTATAGTGAAGCCTTTCAGATGCTAACGGGGCCATATTTCACTCTTACAACCTCCTCACATCTCCATAAAATATTACAGCACTCACAGTGATGACTGGAGGAGGCTGCACGCGTCTTTTCTCGCACACTTTCACTCTAATCACGCAGTTTGTCTCCAAAACACTGATCATCTCTCTCGATTTTAACACAGCTGTGTCCTTTAAAGACTCTATGATCTGAGAGGCCTCCGACTGCTCTGTTTCTCTGCATTTTTTTTAGTAAATAAATGATGAAAAGCTCAAAAGGGAGTGATATTTTTAGATAGATTATGGCTGCAGACTGAATAGTTGAGTTTATCAGACCTCATCGTTTCAGGATCAGTTAAAACAGACGGTGCCAAATTGAGGAGTCACGGCCATAATGCACTTTTTTTAAATAATTGTGGTTGATTCGTTTTATTTTTTGGTCCACTTTTTATTGAATTAAAGTTCTCTGTCTGCAGAAAATTCACTTTAAACATCAGGAGTTTTTTCACTCCCTGTGAAAAGAGTCCTGTTTCGACTTTAATATAGCTCCACAGTCTGCAGAAGAGCTCATAATGTCAATGAATATTCTTTGTCATATGTGGAAACAATGATATCCGCGCAGTGAGACGCATCATTAACATCACCGCTAAAGATCTTAATAGAGTGTGGAAGCTGCTGAGGCGTTCACGGTCTCCTCTTACTGCACGATTTCACAGTTTAGACACGGCTTTAAACGTAGTTAAGACGAAGAAGAAGAAGAAGAAGAAGAAGAAGAAGAAGAAGAAGAAGAAGAAGAAGAAGAAGAAGAAGAAGAACTTTATTAATCTCCGAAGAAAAATTCAATAGTCTGTTGTCTCACTCGACATGTCTCTAAAAGTTATCTACTATTTAGTAGATAGACTAATGTTTAGTCGATGTTTAAAAACCGAGCAGGCTGTAAATGTTGCCCAAATTAATCCTTACGACCACATTTTACGTTTCGGTAAATGTTCACTCGGTCCTTTCAAACTAAAATTACATTACAGACTGAAAATACTTACCTTCACGTGCTACATTTACCTGTTGTTCGTCTGTTTCACCCCTTCGAAATGCCACTTGTTAGGTCTATTAAGTGGAAAACTGGTATTTCTGACAGCACGTAAAAGCAGCATCCGTCTTTCGAACACGCACAAGAGAAGCAGCGGACTCCCTGTCTCCTCCAATCAGGGCGCTGTCTCACTCAACCCACCGTCCAATGGGAATAGCGCGCGTGCAGGTGGCTTCGCTATTATCAGCGGGTCCCGCTTCCCCCCGCAGCTAAAGAGCAAGCGAGTCAATTTATGGAAAGACGAGCCGAGTCCTTTAATGGTTTCCCATCAAAACCACTGAAAACATCATCAGAGAGGCCGACTCCCGCGCGGCTTCCTGTGGCGGGCACGTTCAGTCTTCAAAGAGCTGACAGAAGCAGACCGACGACAAGCACGCGGAGACGTTTGTGGGAGTTTTCGAGCTTCTTCGCTTCTTCTTCCCCAGAGAGGAGAGAAGTTTTCCAGCATTCCCAGAGTCTTCCTGCTCTTCTTCTTCTTCCTCCTTCAGGATACTTCAGGAGAGGGCGAAAGAAGTGGCCTGGCTCCTTAAAATCAACCTTCCAACTTCAATTTTAAGTTTGTTTTTTTATTTCAGTTTTTCTTTTTAATCTGAGCGCGTCCCGGTTCATGTTTACAAATGTTAGCGGTCGGGCAGATGGACGCTAACCGGCAGAGTGCGTTCGTCCTGGGCAGCACCCCGCTGGCGGCGTTGCACAACATGACCGAGATGAAGACGTCCTTGTTCCCGTACGCGCTGCAGCAGAGCCCGGCGGGCTTCAAGGCGCCGCAGCTCTCAAACCTCAACTCCCAGATCTCCATGGGTACCCCGCATGGAATAAGCGACATCCTCGGGAGACCCATCACCACGGCCGGGCAGCTGCTCTCCGGGTTCCCCAGGATAAACGGTCTAGCGACCACCGCAGCCGCCGCCGCTGCGGGGATGTACTTCAGCCCGGCGGTGTCGCGGTACCCGAAGCCGCTGGCGGAGCTGCCGGGAAGGGCGCCCATTTTCTGGCCCGGGGTGATGCAGGGTTCTCCCTGGAGGGACCCACGGGTTCCTTGTCCTTGTAAGTCCTCTCTGTCTCTTAGTATTTACTCTCCATGCATGTATTATTTTTAATCCTTTTCATGTGACTAATAACATAATTCAGCTCAGGAGCAGGCCTGTCAACACAGATTTTCAAGTTTATTTTAGACATGGATTTGAATTTGCTCCAAGCTGAAACCAGAGTGATAAAATATTATTACGCACTGTGTGTTCGCCATAAATTCATTGTACTTAAACTGGAAGTTCCTATTAGATAATAAAAATGTTATTGATACTTGGCAAGACTTTGAAACTTATTAATTAAAAACCTTCACATAAAAATCTGTGTAACACTGTGACAAATAGTGTGTCAGTGAGCTAATCAGACACACTTCGGTCAGTTTGGAATTAATTCTGCTAATAAAGTGCGTCAACTTCTTCAGGCATAAATACTCTTGTGTGTAACCAGTTCTTGTGTTTGCAGCTCAGGCGAATATGATGGTGGACAAGGACGGGAAGAAGAAGCACTCCAGACCTACTTTTTCAGGACAGCAGATTTTTGCACTGGAAAAAACTTTCGAGCAGACGAAATACCTGGCCGGCCCGGAGAGAGCGCGACTGGCTTATTCTTTAGGGATGACCGAGAGTCAAGTCAAGGTAAAACTACACTTCAGAACATCTGTGTGGACAATCTTAGTTTTGTGTTTGTGTTCCCAATTTCACGAAAACCAAGAATGTGGAATCCAAGGAAATTATCTTAGAACAATTACGCACAGTTTACGCACAAGAGACTTAGATTATTTCTATATCATACCTCATTTCTGTTATTATTATGTTGTAGTTTGGGTCATTTGCACCTGTTGTTATTGGTTCGGACCTGTTGAGCATCTGTGCGCCTCTCTTCTCCTCCTCCTCCTCCAGGTTTGGTTCCAGAACAGAAGAACCAAATGGCGAAAGAGACACGCGGCAGAGATGGCCACGGCCAAGAAGAAGCACGACTCTGAGACGGAGAAGATGAAGGAGAGCTCGGAGAACGAGGACGACGACGAGTACAACAAACCGCTGGACCCAAATTCAGACGACGAGAAAATCACGAGACTGTTGAAAAAGCACAAGGCCACCAACCTGGCGCTGATCAGCCCCTGCAGTAACAGCTCGGACACCTTGTGATGCCCACACCTGGGGAAGGGCAAAGCGTGAAGGGGGGTCCATTTAAAAAAAAACAAAAAACAAAAAACAAAAACAAAACAAAGAGAAACTTATCGCACTCTTTCTGACCTCCTTTCGACCTGACATAATGAACAGACGCCTGTGGGGATGCATTTCACACAGAAAAAAGAGCGAGAAATTGGAGGAGTTTGCTTTGAGACATGGAAGACAGACTCACCAAAATGTGACGAGCGCTTGGCTGCATCCAACCCCCCCAAACTTTTACAGACTCTGAGTACTCGGAGATGTAAACTCCTGTCAGAACTGGACTCAAAAAGGAAAAAAAAAACATGTTGGGTCATAAAATAGCAAATCACTTTTTACGAGACCAAGTGGAGTTTTAACAACAGGTGTAAATGTAACAAAACATTAGACATACACACACCATCCGGATCAGTGTTGGGCTTCATATGAGTGAAGAATCACCTTTAATTCCACTTAGAGATGCTTTATTTGATATATATCATGGCATTTATTATCTTTTATTATGCGTAAAACAATAAACCAAAACTCAGCACCCTGGAAGGCCGCGCATTCAGCTCCAATTCAGACCAGTTGATGGTCTTTGTAATGTTTACTAGAATTAAAACGACAAATTTGCACTCGCCTTTTATTCTCAGTTATGGAAAGTGTGCACAAATTTTGCATAATTCAGTTTTTAATTTTGTTTTTTTTTAATATGGTTAAAAATCTCTAATGCTCCGTTTTTACGCGTAAACTCATTTTTTTTTCAGAAGCCCACACTGATCCGGATCTGGACAATGTTAAAACAATGACAGGTGTAAACGGGGCCTGTGATGCTTCTAAAGCTCAGTTTAAGCAGGGTATCCACTGTCCTAAGAGGCGAGTGAGCAGAGTGTTCAGAGGGCGTATAGGTTTGTGATGAATGGATGAATTGTGCTGCAGCCTAACGATGAAACTGTACGTGTGTAGATTGTATATATTTTTTACTGAATAAGTTATGTTCGGACGCGCTTTCTTTTCTTTCACCCCTGGTAGACCTGCTGCTTCCCTTTTTTTCCCCTGCCTTTCTCCTCGTTTTTTTTCACTTCAGCTCTGAAACATTAATGTAAAGACGCAGAATGCTGTAAATAATCACTGTAAAAAAACACACAACAGCTTGTTTTAACACCACAGTTCACATGTTTTTTTTTTTGTTTGTTTGTTTAATTTGAAATATTGTTTTATTTTTTTGACCTCATCAGCACAGAGCGGAGCAGCAGCAGACTGGAGCCTCGTTTTTGTTGGATGTAAAGAGAGTATTATCACTTCCAGGAAGGCTAAAGGAAGAAAAAACACTTTGTATAATGAATAAATTATTTAACAAACGTTTTTCTTTTGTTTTATCATGGGTTTTGTTTGAATGTATGGGCTTAATATAAATTAAAGACAAATTCATGACTATCATAATTGAATTTCGTTATTGGCAAAGGGCTGATTTTGACAGATTGGTGCAGATTTTTACAATGATTTACACCAAAGGAGGCAGAAGTTAAACAAGTAATGAGCCTTTTTATTGTGTTTTGATTCAGCATTTTAAAATTAATTTGTAAAAAAGAAAAAAAAAACTAAACTAAATGTTCATTTATTTTGTTCAAATTCATTTGTTTAGAAATGTTCTTTTTCTTGGATAGTCTCGAAGAAATAATCTAGAAAAAAATAACATTACTTAAAAATAACTATCAGTGTATTTATTATTATTATTAGTAGTAGTATTCATATAATAATAATAATTATTATAAATTATTATTATGTGGCAGTTATTTAGTGATTTATTGCAAATCAACGAGGGTATTTTCACTGAAGAGACTGCCCTCTTTTAAAACTGGATCCTTTACTTTGCAGTCATCCTTCTTTCCAATCATCTGTTTACTAGAGTCTTATTTTGACCCCCTGTATCCCCTCTCGCTCTCAAATGTCGTACCTTATCGAAAAAATATGTTACGCACGTGTTTATGATGTCCTATATTTAGGTTAAACCGTTTTCTTATTTTGGACAAATCAACCCCCAATGATCTGCTCCACAATAGAGCGCCCCCTCTGTCTCAAGATGGTACTACAGCTTCATGTTTTCTCCCTGAGCATAATATGGGCTCCATTGAAGAATTGCGCGCCGTCTCTTCTGGATTCAGCCAATCAGAGAAGAACAGTTTAGATGAGCAGAGGCTGCTTTTGTTTCTTTAATAAAGTGGACACCTGCTGAATGAGGAAACTGACTAAGGCACACGAAAAACTAAAAAATTTTTTGACTGTATGCTTATTTTCTTTTTTACATACATTTGAAGGTGGAATTTATTATTCATTAAGTAAGTTTTAGCAGCTTTGCATTGTTTGCGCAGAAGAAAGTGAATACTTCAGGGAAGCTCATCCATTAGATAGCTTTTTACAAGTGTAGAATAACGCTCATTTTAATTGCAGGTGGAAAAACAAAACAAAAAAAAAACAACTTCACTTTATTCCAAAATGTTTCTCATAGCAGTCTGTCTAAGGCTCACTTTCATATAGTCTGTTTAATGGGCCTAATAAAAGAAGTCCTAGATATTTAACACCAACTGGACATGTCTGGATAAGATTAAAATAACTTTTTTTTGACACCATGTAAAAATGTAAGCTCAGCCCTTAGATAGCTTTTTATAAGTGTAGAATAATTCTCATTTTAATTGCATATGGAAAAACAAAACAAAAAAACTACTTCACTTTATTCCAAAATGTTTCTCATAGCAGTCTGTCTAAGGCTCACTTTCATATAGTCTGTTTAATGGGCCTAATAAAAGAAGTCCTACATATTTAACATCAACTGGACATGTCTGGATAAAAGTAAAATCCATGTGAAAATGTAAGCCACTTTCTTCAAACCAGATTTAATCCTAGAAACTAATATGACACTGATATAAGATGTTTTATTTCCAGTATTTTGTTGCAGTGAAGCTGACAAAGAAAGAAACCACGGTAAGAAAATGTTTGGTTGTCACTCCCTTTATGATAATGCTGTAATAATACAGTGCTAACCCAGTGATAATGTGCTGTAAGGTTAATTGATTGTGGTGCAATAAGGAGGTAAAATGAGTGGTAATGAGGACAAACAGCCGTTGAGCTCTAATGGTTTTTATTGCTTGAGAACTGCATCACCTACAGTAGAGGCCAGGCCGTCAGAGGGGCTATAGGATCAAATCTCTATCTGCTTTAATAAGATGGAGTGAAGAAGAAAAAACTGCAGCTTAAACTCCTACAGTAAACCCACACAGAGCAGCAGGAACAAAAACAAGCAGGCTGAATTTCTGTGTTTTTTTTTCTTTTTTTTCTTTTTTTAAACTTACGAACCAAATCACAGCAGAAGACAACAGAAATCCTGCGGCAGGCACAAAATCATTTCAGTGATTTAGATGAAAAAAAAAAAGATCAAGGAGGATCAATGTGAGGGTTTCACACAGTCTGAGATCTGTAGTGTAGGAAATGAAATCGATAAAAGGAAACGCTGGCGTCTCCGAGCTCCCCTTTAATGCTCAAATGATCTGCGATGAAGGCAACAAACAGACGAATAAAAAGCAACTCCTCCTCCTCTTCTTCTTCCTCCTCCTCCTGCTGCTGCTTCTCTTTCCCACGTTTAGAGTTTCTCTTTTTTTTTTTTACATTTCACAATCAACACCTGAAACCATCTGACTTAATATTTTAAACTCTGACACACTTCATGTCTGTGTGGATACTTGGCACCAAAATGCAGTAACAAAAACTGACAAACAAAATTACATTTTTAAGGATACCCAAGCCTATCTAAAATATCACATTCAGAACCATAATATTATAGAAATAAGTTAGAGTAATAATGAAATAATGTGAGAGTGCTATATATGAAACATTATCTTATATATACTTGCATGGTCTATGGCACTGCTTAAAACATTCTTGGATAGGCAATAAATCACAAAGAGTTTCTCTCCTCTGTGCTGCTGCGGCTGCAGGAACACCCACACAGTCTGCACAAACATTTGGTAAGAATTATAAATTATCTCTTTAAAAAGTACAGTATATAAAATGAGACTCAACTGATGTGTCAGGCATGGCAGTGTGTTGTGCACACAACAACAAAAACAAAACAAAAATATATAGAATTTGTTGAAATCTATTTTTCCAACAAAAGGACCTCAAAGTTTGGTCAGAAAGAGAACGGCACTAAAACCATCAACAACTCTATGTTATACTGTCCAATGTACAAATAACCCTAACAATATAGATATACAACGTTTTTTTGCATTGCACTTTTCTTTTTTTTTTAAAACACCTTACACACTGTGTGGAGAGTAGCTTCTATACACAGAGGCAAACCTACAAATGGCGAGTACGGTGTCTAAACATGTAGTAGACTGATTTCAATTAGAGTTTTGGCAACGAGGCTGTGGCATGGAAAAAGAGTCGTCCGTCCGTCCGTCCGTCCTGTTTTTCTTCTTCTCTGGGGAATGGGGGGGTTGCATGGCAACAGTGAGGTCAGCGATGTGTGTCTTGTCTGGAGCCGGGCCCTCGAGTGCTCGTCCTCGTCTCAACAAGTGTTTTATGGAGAGAAAACAGCTTCGTATGGATGAGGTGTCAGGACGACTGCGACTGGTCAGCACTGCTGAAAAACTTTGTCTTCAGTGTACGCTTGTGCAAAGTGTGGGTGTGTGTGTGTGTCTGTGTGTGGTTTTCATATGTGTGTGTGTGTGTGTGTGTGTGTGTATGATGGTGTCCTGTTTGTTTCTTCTCACAGAGGCGCTTCACGGCATATCTGCTCCCCCCTTTGGCAACACTTCCCTGCGGAGGGAAAGAAGGAAACGTTTTACTCTTCGGTAACAAGCAGAGCTTTCAATCAAAGAAAACTGACCTTGTGCCAACTTTTAGTCACGTTAGAAAACCAGCTGCTGCTGTAGTTTGTGAGTGACAGAGTTATTTCTGTATTCCTGAACCTGGGCCTCGACTTTACATATTCTTCGGTCTAAATCATCGGCCCTAAAAACTTGAAAATTTCCACTTCAAGTTCTTGTTTTTGTCACTCAGATTGTTAAACTGACTTTACTGGGAGGGAAGGACAACCAGGTTAGATCCCAGGTAGCCCCCGCCTGTGTGGAGTGCTGCATCACCCTTCTTTTTTTAAGAAAACTACTATCTATGAGTGATAAAAACAAGAACTTTGATTGGATTTACTTTAAATCATATTGCAGCTGTACCTATCTGACTTTCTTAGACCCAAAAGGATGTAAAAACAGGGTCCAGGTTCATGAATACTGAAACTCTCCTTGAATGTCTTAAAATGTCTGAAGCATTTTAATCACATTTTCCAAAATTGATGCCTTATTTTGGAATAAAACGTCAAATCAGAACCAACTTGTGGTGGAAAAAAAAAATCAAGCAGATCAAAGCAAACAATAGCAACAAGTGTGAGGTAGTATAATAAAGAAAAAGTTCATATTTACCACGACATCACTGCACCACACAACACTTGTGCTTATTTGCATTAGGTTTACCTGCCCCCGCTGTTATTCGGAAGGACAGGAAGACGGGCTGGTGGAGGACAGAGACAGAGCACAGTCAGAGAAAACACTGTATTGATGTTCCCTATGTGTGTGAATAAGTGAGTGTGTGAGTGAGTGAGTGCCAAGGTCTCGCAGGTTAAGCTCACATAGCAGTGCCGTGCATTTTTGTACCCGTGTGCTAACTACATTGGACATTTTTTAAACATGGCTGTCTGTGATTTTAACAGCAGTGTGCGGCAGGGAGGTGAGCGCTGCTGCACTATCTCTCAGTGTGCTCGGGTCACATCACACACACACACTACTGTCTGTGACACTCTGAGTATTGATAAAAGACCTGACTTAAGGCGCCTCTCTTTCAGTGCAAGACCCTCTGTCTGACACGAAGAGACTGAAGCCGGGGTGTTAAACACTTTCTATACAGTCAGCTTTAAAAAAAAAAAAAGAAAGAAATATCCCCTCTGTGCTGCCTGAGCCTCTGTCTTTGACATGAAGAGCTTTCCCTCAGACCCAATTACAGATACAGGAGCTAGTGGATATGACATTAAAGTTACTCTTAGGATTTTTTTTTAATGTTTACTTCATGGATATTTATCAAGTTATATAGCTTCATTTCATAATTTTGCATGCTTGAAGATTTTTATTTTTTTTAAATAACACTACAGCTGGTTAGCTTAGCACAAAGACTTGGAACGCCGAGGAACACATCCACCCAGTAACACTTCTAAATCTCCTTTAGTAACATTAATTTAATATGCAAGGGAACTTTTTCATAAAATCATAGATGAAATTCTACTTTTAGCCGTGATTAAAAACTTTTTTTGGCTTTTTGGATGAGGCTTTTTGAAAGTAACTAGCAAAAATCCAGACAAATGAAATTTAAGGCCTTTTTATATCAACATGCCTGTT